AGGAAGGGTAACATTCTGACCCAGTCTTTTCTCTGCAAAGTAGTCCTCAAACAAGTTTTCCCCATGGCAGGTTTACAGCACTCTTAAGCAATCATGTTTTCTTTTCTTTTCATGCTAAAAGACTTCACAAAAGAAAAAGTCTTTATCCAAAGGATCTTTGGACTTACTTTCATACTTTAGGAATTATCTTCATTTATTCTCTGTTATCTATATTTTCAACTTTTTGAAAATAAATTTGCTCCTTCTTGAACTGTAAATATGTTCATGACCTTTACAAAAAGAGAAAGGGGAAAAAAATGAAAACTTCTCCAGTAATCTTTCCCCATACCCTTTGTCTTGCAATGGGCTTTCTTCCTCCCTCTTTCTATTTTTCTTCATCTTTCCAAAGAGAGATGAGTCTTGCTATGGTCACTCCCTATTACCAATGTATTCAGCAATTTAACCGGGCCTTCATCTTCACTTCTTCACATCTTACTCATTGGTAACTTCCCATTATCAAATTCAAAAATAGCTTCCAGTTCATATCATTAGTGAACTTCTCATCAGCATCTGACACTGTCGAAAAGTCTGACTGCTCACTCTATTGGCTCTCCTCCTATACCACTCTTCTTCCTCATTGCTTTCCCTAGTTCTTCTCTTTTGCCAATTTTTAAAATATAACCATTCCCCAAGCCTCTGGCTTTATTCCTCACCTCTTCCATCTCAGTACAACAGTATAACAGTACAAATGGGTTGTCCTCTCATCTTAGATATGGACCCACATATCTAAACTGTTACCTAGATATTTCCACTTGGAAGAACTTTCCAAAGATACCCCAAACTCAGCAAGTGCCTTGCCAGCAAATTATCTTCTTTTCCAATTCTCCTCTTTTTTGTTGATATTCTATTTCAGTTGTTCTAAGGAAGGAAGGCTAGTAAATATGATAACGTATCCTGATTGTGATTGGTTTAAAACAGAAAAGAAAGTAGAGAATGGTTGCTATTGTATATAAATCATTCTTTTGAATTTAACAGTGATGAGAAAAGAATAAAGTCTTTAGGAAAGAACAGATAGGAGAAAAATCACTTTCTAGGGAAAGAAAAACCTAAGCAATTTTTCAGGCATAGGTGATTCACAAGGGAATAAAGACATGTAAATAAAAGGATATGAACTGAATCTTAACAACTATGAAGCTGACTACTAAAAGAAAATTGCAAGGTATTTTCTCCTTGCACCTATACTGTATACTCTGCATGTGATATTTGCAGCTCTATTGTATATTCTGCATTGTGTGACATTTGCTTCAATAAATTATATCTACTGTGAATATCATGCAGTGTCATAGCGAATACATAATAAACAGGTTTGAAGTGTTTATGTGAAATATTCACATTTATTTTGACATATGTAATTGGTGATAATTTATTTGATTAACCTAAATCAAGTATTCTTTTCCCTTTTGAAATTTCATATATTTATGAATTCCTAATAAGGATGTAGACTCCTTTCAATTCAGTCCATACACAGCTAGTATCTTTCAACTGAAATGCTAACTTTTAATAATAAACCCACATTCTGAAATGAGTGTGGCACTTCCCATCAACTTTTGCTGTTGCTTTTTTTTTTTTTTTGGTAGGTCATAGGGCTTGAATTCTGGGCCTGGGCACTGTCCCTCAGCTCTTCAGCTCAAGGCTAGCGCTATACCACTTGAGCCACATTGCCACTAACGGTTTTAGAGTGGATTTATTGGAGATAAGAGTCTCACAGACTTTCTTGCCTAGCTTGCTTTGAATGGCGATCCTCAGATCTCAGCCTCCTGAGTAGCAGGCATGAGCCTGGTTGCTATTGCTCTTTTGTTGTTAACTTACTGAAATTTCCACTGTAACACCTTCTATATATGTAGCCATGATATTGTTTTCCAGTATTGTTTCTAAATGCCATGATTTATATAATTCAAGTGAACAAGTCCACTTTTCCACTTTAATGGAGGATAGAGTGAAAGGAGGGGGTAGGAAAGAGAAGGTAGGAAGAAGACAGTGGAAGTCTTAGAAAACAAAGGTTACCAGGTAGGCTCCATGTTCTTAAGAAAACTACAAGAGAATAGTATTTGAAAAGTTATTAGCACTAACAAAAACAGCAAAATAAAATTTGATAATTCTCTTGCAGCTTAGAAAGAATTCAGAATAGTGTGGAAAAATGGGAGACCCTGGAGTTTAGGAATAGGCAGCTCTCCTAAGCTAAAAGCTTTGTACAGGAACAAGGCATTGTCAGCAAACCATAACTATTTCCTTTCTTTCTTCCCTCATTTCTCCCACCTTCATGTCCTCCCCACTAATTCTTTCCTTAGCTGCATTCAGTGTACAACATCTGTCATAAGCTGGTAATATACTAAGGCTGGGCAGAAAGAGGCCTAACCTTCCTGCCTTAGTTGAAATCCTCAGATCCAGTGTCTTGCCTGGAAGGTGGGAGGAGCACGGGAAGTGATTACCCTCCAGCTTCTCCTCCCACACAAGCCCTGCCCCCTCACACTTGGACAGTGGAGAGATTAGCTTTCTTCCTCCTTCTAGTTCAGTCCTTTGGCTAATATGCAGGGCCCCGCAGAAGCTATGGACTTGCGTTTTTGAGCTTGGCAAAGTGCATAGATAGAAGACAGGGCTTTCCGACTGGGAGGAGGGAGGAGAGCCGAAGATACCTGCTTGGGCTGGCTGATCTAAGCAGTCAAAGTGGGAGGCTGAGTGCTTGAAAGAGGACTATGCTCGCTCTAGAAATAAGCAGTAAGTGAGTGGCTATGTGGCTTAGAAAAGGATTAATGCCCCTGAGGTGATGGGGTAAACTAGAAAATATTGTTTAATTCTAGCGTGAAACTGTAAGACTGCTAGCTTTGTGTGGTTCTGTGTGCTGTTTAAACGGAAACTAAGAGCTTAAGTACAAAATCAGAGCTCGGATTGCTTCCTTCCACTCTTTGAAAATGCCAACTTGTTTCTAGAATAGTGGGTACATACCCTCTTTCTCTAACCCTACTTTCCAGGAAAATTGGCTAATAAATCAGAGAGGGAATTGGGATTCAGTTGGAGAGTTAGAATTCAATTCTGGTAGAAATTGCAATTTTGAGTTCTGTCCTGTGAGTGCTGACATTATTATATCTATTAGCAGTGATTGTCAGCAAAGTGTGGGGCAGGGCGTTAAAAAGGAAAAGTTAAGAATTTTCATGATAAGCAGCTAAGTCTATATGCAAGGGATTAAATTAAAATACTATATAATAAGTAATGGGTGGGTTTTAAAAAATTAAAATGGGTACAGCAGTTAGGGAGTAGAAGAGGGCATAGATAAAAAGAGAACATTCATTTCAATGACTGTGTGTGCTAGCCAAAGCATTTCACAATGTTTACAAAGTCAAGACAATGATTCAGGGATACTTCAATTATTGTTGTACATTATTAATACTGTTGCCGGGCAAGATCTGTGGTTCTCTGGTCAGCAAGTTCTGGCAATGAAGCCACTGCCGCATGTGCAAAGAATTCTGGGATGCCTGACAGTGAAATGGATGGAAGGGCTCACATTCCATCTCTACTTAATGTCCTTTTGTCCAGAAATCGGGTCATGCAAATGAGCTACTTGGTACGTATACAGATCAATTTTGGAAAGGCATTTCTAAATGTTTTGCATTAGAAGGTCTCTGGACAATATCTTATGGCCACCAGTGGACTAAAAGGGTACAGAAGCAAAGGGATAGGTAGGGAGTCAGCTTGACTGAAGCCAACTTTGTTTTGTTTTCCATCAATCCTGAAATGGAACCTGAAAGGAGGACAAGAATAATAGGGAGAAATACTGTGGCCATCTGTTCTCTTCTAAGTGGCTATATTCATTAATGTATGAATGAGAACTTGGATTTTATGCATCCTAACACTTGAAGATTATTATAATGAAAATACAAAAATAGGAGATATTTGTATATGGGGGGGATAATAAATCCAGTTTGAACTGTCATAAAGGAAAAACATGAAGAAAAACTATGCTCCCAGTGTAAAGATTTATATCATGGTCACTAAAAGGTGATCTAATGGGATGAGGAATATATTGTGGTGCAGTAAATTCAATTACTGGAAATATTTAAATTTTCTTAATTCTAGTTAATGCAATGAATATTTAAAGCAAGGATAAAAAGAAATCTGGCCATAGCTAACTATGTAGGGATTTTTATTTTCTATATGTTGCTAGTATAAAGAAGTAACATGACATTTCTAGTATTCCCGTCAGTTGTTGCATTGGAAGAATAAAGAAGAACTGACGGACTCAGACATATTACTGTTCTCCTGTAGAACAACTATAAAACGACTGTTATAATCTTTCTTTTCAACTTTGGAACTTACAATTACAGATTTTGCTGTGGGGAAAATAGAAAAGGAATGGACATTGGGAACAAAAATAACAGTAAAAAATGAATGAAGTGAATTTTTAAAGATGGTCTGTACTCTTCAACTGTTTTTAACTACCAAATTTTGAAATTGACTTTGTTAAAAAAAATTACTTGTTTTTTTCTAATATTTATAGTAATCTGATTTGTAAACAATATCAAAAATCTGAAGATTTGTTTTTGGAGTTGCATAGTACTTCTCCTTTTTGAGAAAAATGTCATTAAAACATTTTATATTTTAAGCATTAAGCCTACTATAATTTTAAATGAAGTTTCTATAATGAAAAGAAATGTGCCAAGACTCTTCAGGGAGTTACTTATGTATCTCAAGGTGTTTAAGAATTTTTTCTGGACTATTGAATAAAAGAGAATCATATGAATATTGAGAAAAGTAGAAAAGGCATAAATTAGAAAGACTAAGCAGAAAGTTGTAAATATAACTATGGGGCAGCAGTTAAAGAGTATTTGCTGTTATACATAAAAGAATAATGCATTGATGCCTTTTACTAGTGAAAGAGGCTATGTAAACTTTAAGAAATATTAAGTAAGAATTAAGATGTTAATGGAAAGAAACTAAATGATCATTTAAAATTATTCTTTCACAAGAAAAGTAAAGAACAAGGATATGGAAAACTAAGCAGTGATGAAGACCTGGAAATAATTGTTGATGAAAAGCAGGTAAGTGAACACTTACATACATTTTCTATTGTTACACTGTAGATTTTTGGCAAGAAACTCTTTATGTATTCATTGCTTCCTTGATAGCTGTGTTAGCCTATTTCACTGAGCCCTGTTGGTCAGTAGATTTTGAGGGCAGCTAAACCTCTTTATCTGATCCTTTGCCCTGATGACTTATGCATGAGAGTAATATATAGCTTCTGTAGGTAAGAATGATGAAAGATAAAGTTAGAGCATGGTTAGAAAATTTTGGGGAAATTAAAGGCTACATTTGACAAAAGCATAATGTGGTTGGAAAAAAGCACATTTAAATAAGAACAAAAAAGTGTAGTATTTTGAAAATTTTGAAGCATTACCATTAGTGTGTCTTAGAAAACAGTGACTATGATTCAGAGCAGGAGGATAAAAGGCTTTGAAAACTTGAGAAATTTAAACATACATTTTACCCAATTAAATTGTTAAAATTGTCTGAAGACAATTTAGAGATGAATTATAAAGCTAAAGAAGAAGCTATTTAATAGTCTGTAACACTGCCCTAATTTGAGAGACCTCTAGTTTGGATGCTTTATGGGCCCATAAGGTGAGATGAAAATTGCTTAATAGACCATAAACAATGACATAGTGAATAGTGGAAGGTATCCAGCAATGACACTGAATTGGCATTGGCCCTTAGCGTCTTTGTCAATTATCAAGGAGACAAGCTAACTACACATCTATTTAATGTACAAGTAATACCGAATCATAGGGCAATGTCAAATCAAATGTACAGACAGTGATAACTCAAAGGGATCTGAGCATATGAAGACATTAGAAAAAAGCTAGTATTTTACATACAGACAAGTAGAATTTGTACAATTTCTTAATCATGTAGTATAACAATTGCATTAAAGAAGTTTTTATCTTGCCAGCACCTGGGCTTGACCTCAGGCTCTTGAGCTTTCACTCCCTGGTACTCTACCACTTGAGCCACACTTCCAGTTCTGGCTTTTTGATGGAAAATTGGAGATAAGAGTCTAGAGGATTTGTCTGTCAGGTTGGCTTCCAACTAAGATTGTCAAATCTCAGCCTCAGGAGTAATTAAGATTAAAGGTGTGAGCCACCATGGCTTGGCTCAACTCATTGTGTTTAGTTTTTGACAAAAAGGGAAATGGCAGCTAGAAGGTAGAAGCCAGAAATAATTGACTTAGAGACCTGTTTGTTGAGGGCAATTGAGGCAATTGAAGTGGTATTCCAAACAAAGCCCCAAAGAATATACTGGCCTCACAGGAGTGGCCTCTAGACTTTTCTCACTTTTTCATCATTTTGTTGTTCCTGGTAAAGCCAGGTGGGGGTAGGAAGGGTTGCCCTTGGAGTTTTCTACTTAGTGCCAGATAGCCAGGCCAGTTAATAAGATGAGTGAGGTAGAGCACAAGTGCTCTGCTTGAGCTATTAACTATTATATTAACTATGTCAGATTATTTACCTGTGACAGGAAATTCACACTTCTCACTGATCCCCCTATAAATCAGGATTGTGACTAAAAGCAGGACCTACCTGGTGAATAAACTAGTAAAATACAACTAATTACATTTTGAGGATACAAATACATACACATTTCCCTATTAAAATAAAAAAGTTATTTATATTTCTCCTTTAACTATGTAGAAGGTAAAGTCTTTCTATTTTTCTTCTTTACTGTCTTCCTCCCCAATGCTGCTTGTGTTATGCTTGTGTTAGTGTTGTGAAATGATAATATTGTGTATTGAGATTTTACTGTTCTTTGTTTTCATGTAACTTTCAGAAAGTTTATGTTATTATTAAACACACTTTGTTAGTTGCTAAGAAATCTTAAAAGAAAAAGAAAGCCACCTTATCTTTTTCTTTAGAATATAGTACTTCATTATTGGGTCAAATGAGGGATCCCATAGGCGTGGAGTAGTCCTCTGCCTCTGTGATTATCCTGCTCCTTCTGAGGTGCTGTACAAGTTGGTACCATTTGGCAGTAGTCCAATGTTGTGGAGTCATTCATGTCAAAACATGCTTCAGAAGATGAATAATTATGAATATGAGCTGGCTTTGGTGCTTGTTGTTGGCAGGAAGGGTAGTCCTTCCTTGTTTAAGAGGCTTATTTGGGGTTGTGGTGTGAACAAATCCTAGGTTGAAATGATGGCAATGTTGATGCATAGAAATAGAATATGGGAGAAAATACTATAATCTTATAATACTATACAAAAAAACATTCCTAAGAGGCTAACAAGTTAAATCTATGTGTATATTGTGCAAAATATGTTTTATTACAGAAATAGACTATTGTTTCACTTTCCAGATAGGATGAAATTATGAATATGACACGTATAATTAAAATTAAAATCTAAAGCCTGAATTTGTCAAGAATCTTTATGATCAATCTGTATCTTTTCAGAAACACGGTAGAAATTTATTTGGATCTTTATATACTTATAAGTAGATTTTTTAAAGTAAGTGATACCAAAGGAAAATCTACAGAAGATAAAGAAAATGATTGGAGTGCTATGATGGCAGAAGTCAACCAGTCTCATTAAATTCATCACTCAGGCTGTCACTGTACAAAAGCTGTGCAAGCTATGCAGTTTCACCAGTCAGGTGCACTCTAACAGGAAGTCCATAGTCTTGCTTATATAAGCAAATTAATAATAAAAGTAGCACACAAGGGTTTGGTTTCTCCCTGGCTGTCCTCATTCAAAGGAGTAAAAGATCATTCTGTGTTTTTTTTTGACATGGAAAAAGTAAATTTTGTAAATATATAAGATTTAATTCTGGGTAGGGGGGAGGTAGGGAAGGGATGTGAAGGGTAAACAAAGGAGGAGGCTGCAATGCTTGATAAGAAATGTACGCATTATCCTGCCCATGTAATTGTAACCCCTCTGTACAGTATGTTCACAAAAAAATTAAAATAAATTAAAAAAAGATTTAATTTTTGAAAGGCAATGTTGTACTACCCTCTGAAATTTTAATGGCAAATTTTATTTGTAATACATATAAAATATCCCAGAAAATGAATGTTAGTGCCCTAAAGTACTAGGTGCCTATGACCCTCTCTTGTCTCTGTCTGTCTCTGTTTCTGTCTCTGTCTCTTCCCTCACATCTCTCTCTCTCTCACTCTCTCTGTCTCTGTCTCTCTCTCTCATACACATCATTTAAATATAAGATATAAGTACATCACTTTGGGACAGAATCTATATTCTCCACCTAAAATACCCCAGGGTTTTAAACTTCAAACATATGAAAATAATTGATAAGGATGTATTGAAAAGAAAATTTAATGCCCCTAAAATTCACACACTACAAAATTAATGTATCTATATATAATTAGTGAATACCATATTTGGCTTTCTAGAATAAGTATGAAAAGAGAAATCTTAACTATATAGTATCATATTCTTTCCTGACTTGAAAAGAGTCTGGTGATATGACTCAGTCATAGATCACTTGCCTAGCATGCATAAGGCCTTAGGTTCCATCCCTACCCAGCACTGAAAAATAAAAAGGTGAGAAAAGACTGAAGATGAAATGGCGTTTGTTCAGAAAATAAGTCTCATATAAACACAAATTCCCCTCTGAAATTACTGAAACATAAGGGATAGGAATGGGGAAATAGAAAATAAAGTACCTTTAGTAAGGAATTCACTACCTTGAATAAATAATGCATGATTTTTCTTTTTTCCCCCAGTAGTACTATTGTTTGAACTCAGCATCTTATGCTTATTAGGCATAGGGTTGGCCATGTCCCAAACTCTTTTTGCTCTGGTTTGTTTTTTAGATAGGTTCTCATATTTTTTGCCATGGCTATCTTGGGACTGCAAGCCTTCCACCTCCACATTTGAGTAGTTTGAATTATATGTCTGGCTTGTTTTTCAGATAGGGGCTCACTAACATTGGGCTGGCATCTCACTGTGATCCTCCTTTTTTAACTCCCAAATAACTGGGGTCATAAGTCTGTACTACAATATATGGCTCATTTTATTTTAAATTATTTTTAATTATATTTATTAGTTTTTATAGCTTACAATTAATGTTAATTGTATAAAAGGGTTTTTTAATTATTTTTTTCTAATTAGAATCAACACAGTTTATTCTATGCAGGACCTAAATTACTTTCTTTCTAAAATGTTTTCAAATTCCAAGTAGACTTGAAAAAAATATAATAAAGACTAAAATAAAATTATTGGATATTGTGATTATATGAAGGACAGCTTCCAGCTCTGTAGAAATGGTTTAACAAAAGGCTGGCATGAAACCACGAAGTTGGCGCTGCAGGTCACTTGGTGCAATAAGGTGAGGAAATGTCCAAGGTCAGACACTTACAAAGGGAACATGTAAACATGGGTCCAAGCAATTCACAAGCTTCAACTATTTCAGCTGGAGCATCCTATTGCAGGGGTTTCTGAGTCAGTGATCCAGGATGGGTCTCAGAATTTGCATTTCTGAGCACTTAGCCACGGCTGCTGGTTCTAGACTATACTCAGAGAAAGTAACTATTGCAGTTTTAAAGGGGGAAAATTGTGTGTGTGTGTGTGTGTGTGTGAGAGAGAGAGAGAGAGAGAGAGAGAGAGAGAGAGAGAGAGAGTGAGAGAGTGAGAGAGAGTGAGAGAGAGTGAGAGAGAGAGAGGTGATAAATTTGCCATCTTTCTGAGGCATTACCTGGAATCCTAAAATGTAGAACTTATAGGCACTCAGAATTATGATTCTGAAAACAAGAAAGTCACAGGCTTTTTACATAGCAAGGTGACTTTAAATACCCAAGTTAGCAGTTTGATAGATTCAAAATCAAAAAGTTTCCTTCTTTATAAAATAATGCTTCATTCATTAAATCTCTTGAGTTTATCATGTTTATAAACATGGTAATATTAAAAAGTGAAAAATATTTTTTATCTTAAAAAACATTTTATCTTAATAAAATCAACCATGTGTTTTATTTTAATTAGCTAGCCATCTCTATCCTATCTCCTTCCCCACATGCAATTTCTAGATATCTAGAAAGA